TCTCTCTCTCTCTCTCTCTCCTCTCTCTCTCTCTCTCTCTCTCTCTCTCTCTCTCTCTCTCTCTCTCTCTCTTCTTCGTGCGCGCGCTGCGCATGTCTCGATAAAATGACCGAGCGGGCATCCGGGGCCATTAACATATTAATTCAATTATTATTCAGTTTAGAACGCTATATTACACTGATCGATGTTTGTAAACCGTATTGCATTTCTAGCATGAAACGCTGCGAGCATACGCAAATAATTTAGCAGGATGGAACGACGAATTTCATCCCTCCACTGATCCGAATTTTAATCGGAAATAAAGCGATATAATAATATTCGATACATAATGTTACTGTAGAAAAATTATTTTTCTCTTTAATATAATTTAATTTTACTACAAACGTTATATAAATACATTTACAAAATCAACATAATATATTCCTTATAGCTAATATTGTTCTAATTTCAAACAATCAACGCCATTATTACAACTTAATCAAATAAATATTGTTTCATAAATTTTAATTAAAAATATGAAAATGATATGATCAAATTGAGAAGTTTGTTTTTTTTTATCCAGTTTTATACAGTTCTTATAAAAATGTGCAAAAATTACAAAATATTTATTAAAAAATTTCAAAAATATTGTTTCATAAATTGTACAATTATAAGATATGAAAATGATATTTATGAAATTATTAGGAACTTGCTTTTTCTTTTTATCGCATGATTCTTATGAAAATCCGCAAAAATTACAAAATATTTCATTGAAATTTCTTAACTTGTGTGGCCTGTATGTTTTCCTGTGAGTTTCCTTGTACCTCATTATCTGTACACCGCAAACCAAGGTTAATAACAGCCACGTCGCCGATATTTGGTGCACGTTTCCTTCATGCACCGTGCCGGCAGTTTCGACGATCCGTGTCTTGCAGAGCGCAAGAAACGCGCTAAGAATGACGTAATCCCGGTTGCATAATGCCACGGCAAATGTTCGCAGCGTGCGCGCGTAGTACCAACTATTCGTGTCAACTATTATTCTTCGAACGACCCTCGGTGCAGCGTCGTTGGTTGCGCTGCACATTCGCGCATCCTTGGAACTGGAATTTATGGGACGAGGTCGCGCCTAGGTGCCTGTCTAGCGTTTAGAATTTCGTTCGTCGTTGCGTCTACAATTTTGCGAAACGGTAGGCGACATTTAGCGGAGAGCGGAGCGTATTGAAGGCGCTCTTTCGTCGTTGCCGGAAGTGACGGCAATTATTATTATTAACGGCTTTCAACGAGAAGATCCTTAATCTCGTAATCCTATCGTGTGCGCTCGATGACTCCGATAAGTCGCGCTGAAAATTTACGCTACGAATTCCGACAAACGCGAAGCGACAATCGACAACGACGACGTACCGTAAGCTCTCGAGAAATTCGACGATTTCTGAAACTTCCCGCTATCGGAAAACTCGACTGTTTTCGATAATCCGCGATTACGAAGAAAATATCGAAAATATATTATCGAATTGGGAGTTACATATTCGATCACTCCCAGTCATGTCGTATAGAAACACTACGTCGCATTTACTCACACCAAAATATAAACGAGATTGCATTTACGTCAGATAATATGAGATTACGTTCACGCTTCGATGCTTGAAATACGCCTCAGTTAATGTTGTCGATCCTAACATTTTAATAGCGTTCGCAAAACCATGCATTATTGCATGAAGGAGACCGAAGAATGTTCTTGGGAACTTCATATTATATCTTTCCGCACGTGAAACGTGACGGAAAATGCCAACACGCATAAAGAAGGTATTACAAGAGCGATTTCGTTCACGAATTTGGATGCTATAACTTTGACAAAGCCGCCGATTTAAGGAACCCTCTTCTTCGATATGAGGACGGAACGATCGGACGGAACGAGTGAAAGCTTTTGCGCTGAACATGCGTGTAAATATTCTCACAGCAGGGATCATGGCAAAATTAAGGAAGGCTACGATACACATTCTTCAAGATGATGCATGAGACGGATTATAACCGATAAATCCTAACATGACAATTTCTATGCGTTGCTGACAGAAAATTTTTCGCTGTACCAGCAGTTCATATCGATCTTCTATATGATTATTACTTTATTTTAATTATCTTTAATTTTATTGCTGCTAATCTTACACAAAGTTAACTTTATAAAATAATGATTAAATTTTACGCTGTTTTATATACATTATTTCATAAGTGAATATTTTTAATAAAAATTTAATTATTATCTATTAAATTTTATTATTAATATATACTGAAATAATTTGTGATTACATTACAAAACATTATAAATAATTTGTTATATAATGTTTTATATATTTTAATAAAATAAATAAATATTTAATTAAATTTTATGAAACGTCAAAAACAACATTGAATAAGTTGAAGCGAATTTTTACTCTCAATAATTATCATATATATAAAATCCAATGATTAACTGCTTTTATGCTGTTTTTATGTCTCTCTGCAAAGGTGTATTTCCCAAGATTTTTTCCAATGCTCCATTAAAGCTCGAAGAAGCGAATTGTGAAACGCAAAACTGCGCTATCTGCTGTAATGTACTACTTCAATTGTATTGCATAGTCAGACAAGCTTATCTTAACAATTAAAAAAGTAAAGGTAAAGGATCAGACTAAAAATAGATTGAACGAATGAT